CCCCATTGGGCTGGGCCCATGGCTCCAGCCTGGCCAGGTCCCCCTGCAGAGCCCTCCTCCCCCCAGCAGACCCACACTCCCGCCCAGCTCGGTGCCATCTGCAAACGGACTGGGGGTGCCCTCGATCCCCTTGCCCAGATCATGGATAAAGATCCCCTGGTTTTCCTGCCCGTGCCCGGCGAGCGTGCTCAGGATGAACGGCGCCATCACCTTCCCCGTGCCCAGGTCAGGCTGACAGGCCTGCAGCTCCCCGGATCCTCCTGCCGGCCCTTCTTGTAGCTGGGCCTCACATTTGCCAACCAACAACCTTTGCCTAGTGACATACACATTTTTCCCAGAGGAGAAGAAAGCATGATTTAACTAGAAATTATTTGCTTAGAAGTTCATTTTCCCACTAAAAATCCCCCACCACGTCTGAAGACAAAACATCATCAGCCTCAGGCAAGTGCTGAATTGCCAACATGGACTTTTTTCTTAATATTACCTTTTGTCGGATTGCGGAGTACAGTCAGGAGCTGATCTTCACCCTCGATGGGACTCAGACCGGCTTGGGATGAGCTGGTATGAAACAGAAATCATCTGCTTCCCAGCGCTGCTTGCAGAGTAACCCAGTCCCTGTGGGAATTTTGTTTTCCAGATCCCTTTTTCCAAAACGCCCGTCCTTGGATGATCGCCCTGGGTGTCGTGCTGGTTGCGGTGGTCGCCCTCCTTATTTTGGCTGTTTATCTATATATAGTTAAAGGTATGGCCCTGGCGCGGTGTTTGGGGAAGGGGGCTGGGCGCTGTCCTGTTCATCTGCCGCTGGGTTTGACCGACGAGTGGGCTTGGGAAATGCCGGGGTGCTCCCAGAGTCTTGTCTCGGTGTCTCAGGCACACGTGCGGTGCCAGGGAACTAAAAGACCCAGGGGTTTAATTGCTGGTGAGACAGGAAAGGTTGCATCTCCAACCAAAGGCTATCAAGGAAGGAAGTGGGGATTAAAGCAGCGTGAGCCAAGGGTTCCTCTGCCCCAGCCAGGGTGGGCTCTGCCCGCAGAAATGGAGCCCTGGCAGTTTTGGGGGCCTGGCAGGGCTTCCTTTCCTCTCACAGGCCGCTGAAAGGGGTCTAAAGGGTAAGTAACAGAGAGGAAGAAAGGCACCTGAAATCCTCTCTGTGCTGCCAAAAGGGGACGGAGCCGGTGGGTCGTGCACGCGCTGCAGCGCTTCCAGACCCCGCGGCCTTTCTGCCTTGCGATGGCTGTAACTCCTGCTGTGCTTTGATCACCGCTCTTTGGAAGGGGTGGGCTTTGAACTTATTTATGTTTCTTTCTCTCCTTCCCAGGAAAGCAGGAGAAAGAAATAGGTAAGCTTTGCTTCCCATTTTCCAGGAATTCATAGAATCATAGAATCATAGAATGTTTTGGGTTGGAAGGGACCCCTAGAGGTCATCAAACGGAAGAATTTGTGGGGTACATTTCTGGGAGAGAAATGGGGAGGGAAATAGCTTGGCTAGCAGCTCTAGAAAGCTGTGCAATTAGTTTATAAAATGCTGAAATGCTGAAATGCTGTTGCAATTGGAAGGAAAACCATTGCAGAACCAAGGAAAGCGTGAAGAGATATTGTGCTGCCAGTGACCTCTGCTTTTCAAAGGGCTCTC